GTGGGTAAAGATATTTGTGGAACATTGCTGCTGCACATTAGCTGCCTAGTTTACCTACATAGCACATTCACAACACTTCAGAGTAAATCGTTATGTGACATGCATTGAGATATTGGGGCAAGTATTTTTTATTCATGGTTTAGTTTGTAATATGGGGGAAAACAATGGGCTTTGATGCTCTGAATAGTCCTCCCTCATCCTTCTATATGTGATGTACACGTCAGGCTCTAGCACCAACATTTTTTAAAAAAGAAATAGAATTATTGCATATTTATCAATAAAGTCAAGTTGTAATTTGAAGACATCATTCATTATATTATGATGTATAGAAGAGTTACAGGAACTGACATGGAAATTCTGGGATAAGATGGAGACCCCTTGATCCAATTAGCCCATTTTCATTTTGGTTCTATCATTGTAAAACAGAGTGCATTATTTATTTCCCTGTCAGCTGGCCACATTATCTCCCTGGTCATTGCACCCATATTCTATCACTCTCGAGAGCTCCTAACAATAAAGAGGATGGTTGTAGAGCAGAATTCAACAGCAATTTACACAGTGCTGGCTTGAAAGTCACTCTTGACTTGAACCGTGCGGAGGAGTTGATATGCCTCTAACAGATGATTCTGTAGTACAAAAAAAAACTCATGCAATTTATACAATGAAAGAAAAGGCACATTCGTTCTTTCCAGTAGATTTTCAGGAACTTTAAACGTGGCTAATTTCTCCCATGTTGTAAATGGGGTCAGTTGAGTGATGCCCGTTATGCTTTTGAAAGATTACAAAGTTCCAGCATTTCATTGTGAAGATCTTTATTTAGTGATAATTTTAAAGCCATTCTTTTAAATGGGAACTGGGAACTATTACTGTGAAGCATACGAGAACAGCAACAATTTAATAATTAAAAACACACCATGCATCTAAATTCATTGCTGCTGCTGTTTGTTATTTTATAGTACAGTACTGAGCTCTGCAACGTTTTACACCATATTATAAACCACCACCAAGTGAGTTCAAGGCAAGTATAAATTGGTTTATTAGTTGCTGAATTGTGGCCGCTGCTGTTTTCTTCACTTGTTTGTTTCGAAGCCGTTTGTATTTATCTGAGTGAATTCTATTCACGAACCATTGCGTTTTCAAATCAGCAGCTCGCCAGTTGATTGATTGAAAATTCAGTAAATTGAAAAATAAGCCTGTTTGAAAAATAGGTCTGTGTATGAAATAATAAATAATCGAAGAACAAAATAGGAATTCGGAGGTCTACAAGATAGTCTCGGGGGAAGGGGAGGAGGAGGGGAAAGCAAGCTTAGTAATTTATTTCAGCAACTGCTGGCTTGGTTCATTACTCAAAGAAAAAAATGCTAAGCCTCATAATTTTGAATAAAATGTACTTCGCTCGTCCTTCGCTCGTCACTAAATTCAGGCCTCTCCTCTTTTACAATACAAAATGTTTTGCTTGGAAACTTTTTGCCTGAAGAGGCTTCTAGTTTATTTGGCTATTTCTAAAAGGAAGCCCTACATTACTGTTTTATTTAATCTTTTCCTTCTGTTGTGCTGGACTGAAATAAATTGTTCTGTTAATCATGGCCTAGCCTCAACCCCCAGTAGCCAGCGACATCATGTTGACTGGAATATCAGCTCTTTCTTGATTTCATTAATGTTTAGTCATGCGGCATAGAAATGTGTTAAAGCTATGAGTGACTGCACTGAGGATCCCTGGCGTACTTCTTTTCATGGAATTAATGGAGCAAAGACTCACGGAAAGCCACAACATGAGAGCTGTGGTATGCCTCATGGTCAAAAGGTTCCATCTGGGCTTGAACCACAGCAGTAAGCATTTGTCAGTATTTTAAACCCTCCTAAAACTGTTTACTTAATTGAGAACATTCTGGCTGAACACTGTTTCTCTGCTGTTAAATTCAGATGGAATCCATTGGAGATGAATGTTGTCGACATGCAAACGCCCTTATATTTTATTCATTTAAAATCTGCAATAATGTCACCCACATACTCAAAAGTTTGAATGTCAATGACCAAGGAATGCATTTTGCATTAAGGTAGCTCAAGACAGAAATTAAAGTCGCTGCTAATGTATCAGTTTTTCATGCCAAAATGTTCAAATCTTTGGAGACATAGGTTAATGGAATTTGATGGCAGCGGCGTTCCAAGAATTCAAGTACACAGTGATTCAGATACACAGAAGGCATTACTGGTTATTGCATTGCGCTGAATTGGTTGGGAACAGTGGTGGCTGGTGACCTTATTGACAGGTGAGGCACACCTCCTTAGGCAATCTATGAGTTTGCCTACCCAAGATATATTGTTACCGTGGCGACATACCATCCTTTCGTGAATGCAGAATGGTTTGGCCTCTCTCCCAATGGCTTGTACTCTCATGCCATTCCCATTCGCTTGCTGGCTTTGCTCCCTCAGGGTTTCACCCATTTCACTCAGTTCCCATTCACTGGTCTCCCAAGTGCTCTGCTGGGATGCTACCCTGCATCAGGGGCGCTATATAAATGCAAGTTGTTGTTGTTGCTCACCTCAAGACATGGAAATTCCAGATGAAGCACCTGACAAGTCGCCACTAGTTGGGAGACTATTAGTATTAACATTTCATATCTTGTGTGGGTTCAGTGATAGCCCCTTACTAGGAAATCAGCCTTGATACATAGGTTCTTCCTGGGCTGAATTGGTTCCAAAGAGATATGCCACACAGGTCAATGCTAAATCCAAGGCACTCTTTGCGGTTGACTAATCTATTTGGTTCACAAAAAAGACACAGTCAATCCACTTATAGTATATTCTGTGAAGCACTTTGTAATGTCTCAAAGACATGAGAAGATGTTATAACAAATGCAAGGATTATGATTATTATTATTATCATTCTGAGCCTTGGAGCTGTAGACATTAAAGGTATTAAGGAGTATGGTGAAAAGACAAGGCATTGGTACAATACAATACAATACATAATGCAATACAATACAAAATTACATTTGTCAAGCACCTTTCACATCGGCAGGACGTCCCAAGGCGCTGAACAGTCAGGGATTAGGACTGGTATTAAAAGATCTATCAAGATCTAATAAACTGGTTGAAAAGACAATTCTGTAGCAGTTTTCCTATGAAACGCTGCAGGCCAAAGTCCTAATGTGTACAGTGGTTCATATGCACACACTAATACCCCACAAAAGGCCAAGAGGTGCATGACGAATTTTATGGGGCTATTGCTGACTAGGAACAAGCAGAAACTCCCTTCTCTTTCTGAAAAGTGCCATGGAATGTTTAACATCTCTCCTGAACAGGCAGATGGGATCTCGGTTAATGTCTCATCCAAAAAACAGATAATTGTTCCCAGCTACAAACAGGAAGGGATGTTTAAATTATAGCATCTCCATCTGTCCCACGAGAATTAATTGTAACTTTCACATCGGGAGAACATCTCAAAGCACTTCAAATCAGGAATTGTAATAAACCAACAACAACTACTTGCATTAATATAGCGCACTTCACATGGGGGTAGCATTTCTGAGCGCTTCACAGTGGCGAAGTCTGACAACGAGCCAGGGGACAAACTAGGGTGAGAGGGGGGGGGGATAATAATAATAATCCTGACATTTGATATAACCCCTTACAACAACAACAAATTACACTTGTTTAGCGCCCTTCAAGTCAGAAAAACATCCCAGGCCGCAAGACAATCAGGGGTTTTGGACCCAAACTGGGAGTTGGGGTCAGAAGGGGAGGAGGGCAGGGGGTGTGGGGGTGGTAGGGTGGCTGAAGGCATGGTCAAAGAGGAAGGTCTTTAGATGGGAGTTGAAGGAGGAAAGAGATGGGATGAGGTGGACTGATTGCGGGATAGAGTTCCAGAGTGTGGGGGCAGAGATGCTGAATGCCGAACCACCAATCTTGGGGCGGGTAGTGCGGGGTGTCTGAAGCAGATCCGCCAAGCAGATGGATCGGACAGGCTGATATGGGGTTAGAAGTTCGGAGAGGTAGGGGGGAGCCTTGAAGGTAAGAACGAGGGTTTTGTACTCGAATTGATGACACATCTCAAAGCATTTCACAGAATATATTGCAAAGTGGATTAAATGTGTATTTTGTAGGTGAAATGTGGCAGCATTATAGATTTTTTTCATTCTCAAAAATAATTTATCATATGTCAAGGAGAATACTGCACCTTAATTAATTACCACTCTTTGCAGCTTTCCTCCCTGGTCCGGGCACTGCAAAGTGACACTGTCATAGATTTGGCATTTAATACAAATAGAGTTCTGTGTTACAATACAATAGACAAATTCTATAGCCATTTCCAATAATTGTAACCCCTGCCTAGTCAGAGATTCTCTGAAATGCAAATATGAACATTATATTGGAATGTGTGGGTTCAAATCCGACCTTGACTGATGCAGTACAATTTGCTTCCTTAGCTGTTAGTGTCCTATGTGAAATTATGATCCTAGGGTGGGTATTAAAGGATGAAATCAAATTGGCCTAAACCTTGTGATCTTTTGAATTTGGGAAATATAGCAATCTCATTTGGAGTTGTACAGGCTCCTTCTTCCCTCTCACCCCCGACAAACTTTACATTTGGTGAAAACTATTATTATATTCATTGGTTTCATGCACTCACCAATCAGTCTGGCTCAGTCTGTAGCACTCTCACCTCTGAGTTAGAATATTATGGGTTCAACCGCCACATCAAGACTTTGAGCTCTCAGCCTCATCTAACACGCCAATACATTTCTGTGGGTGTACTGCACAGTCACAGGTGGCATCCTTCATTAAACCAAGGTTCTGGATGCCTGTTCAGGTGAATGTTAAAAATTCTATAGCATTATTTGAAAAGTAAAGGGAGTTCCTCCTGGTATCCTGGTCAACAATCCCCAAGATGAAATCAAGCAGTCACTTCATGGCTGTTTGTGGGACATTGCTATGCATAAATTGAATGCAACCTTATCTACAAATTCACACTTCATGGTAAAATGAAGTGCCTTGAAATATTTGGACAATGTCATAAGGTCCTGTATCGAATACAAGTTTTTTTTTATTATTCACAGAGTGCTCCTGAGACAGTTTAAATGTCGTATAACTAGTGCATTAGAAATAGTCTCCAACATTATGTATGATATTTGATATTATAATTATGCTACCATCCCCCTATTAGTTCTTCTGAACCTATCGCATTTATGAGGATGATGGTATCAATAGAACATCTGATTTCGACTCAACCGTATCACAGAGATAATTTCTAATTTAGGGCAATTTTTTAATGTATTCATGCACAGGCAAATTAATTTTAATGCCGATTAAAATGCAAACTCATTTCAGTGCACGCTGCGATAATTTGCAGCAATTTACATTATGTAAACAGTTGTCATCAGAACCTTCCTAATTGCAGCAGTGTAAAAACATGAATTTACACCACAGCTCCAGTAAAACGATCAATGAGAGAGAGAGAGAGAGAGAGAGAAATGCAGTGTTAAAGTGAGAGGAATCAGCCTGTTGAGTCATGCCAGTACTGGAGTCTGGACCAATTTATAGACTGGAGTGTCATTAACAACACTGGCAATACAATCTTATACAGTTACAACAAATGCTGGAGAAGGAGGCGATATCTGAAGAGGGAATGCAAACCGCTCGAATGTGGACAGATCGAGGTTTATTCAGACTTTTTGTCCACTTCACACTGCTTTGCATTTGAATGAGCCTATTTCCATTTGTTAAAATGGACAAAATATGGCATTGAATGCACACAACCTCATTTCTGTCTCTCGCCTGTGTAGGTGGCTGGCAGACAGCCAATAGAGTTCTTTTTTTATTCTGAAACCCATTGAGAGGCTAAAGGCCATAGCTCAAGACACCACCAACATTGAAAAGGCTTGTTTTTATTGTATCTTTTTGTGTGTGACTGTTTTTGAAAGGGGATTATTGAGTACACACACTAGTGTTCACTGGTAGTTTGATGCTGGTACTTGAGTTAGTGATATGTGTCTGGCCCCAGCCATTCCAGCCAATGCTGACTGTTTAATCCGAGGAAGGGGAGGTTAGCTCCCAGACTGGCAGACTGCCACTCTCTCCAGATCGCACAGACCTTACCCAGAGAGACAGTCAGTGTTTTATGCATTGAGTCTCCTCTCTTACATACTTGCCGTGTCCAACCACCAGAGAAAACATTGATGTGATATGGTCAACTCAAGACCAGATGTGTTATTGTTGCCAACATACTCATAAATACATTGAATATAATAAATCCTCATGCATCAACCCACTATTGTGATAAAGTCCGAGAGGGCAAGTTATCACACCAATCTTTACTTATCAAATAAACATTAGTTATTATTATTGTTAATTATCAATTGGCCTTGAGCGCATTTATAACTAATGTAAAGGTTATCACCGATGATGGTGATAATTAAGACATTAACAGATGAGAAATATAATGTGTGACAACATTGAATCTGTTGTAAAATGTTGCACTTTCTAAAACTGGCAATGGAACTGAACCATAGAAACACAGAAATGCACAAAACAATAGTCGGCTGTTCAGACCATTTTTTCATGTTGGTGTTATATCAAATGCTCCACTGAGAAGCCATCATCTGAAACCCAATTCCCTGCTCTTCCATGTACCCTCTAATACCCTTCCTTGGCAGGTGTTTGTCTGATTATCTTTCAAATGTTCCAAGTGATGGCTCCAATAAGCACCTCCAGCAAATCATTCCAAACCCTGACAAACTTCTGGGAGAACATGTTCTTCTGAACTTCTCCTTTTCCTCTCCTAGAAAATAAGAAAGTCTATAACAATTAAGTGGTAATATGCTTCATGTGTTTTCATTAACAAAGGGAACCAATGATGTGGTTATGGAGTGAGTAAGTGACTAATGCATAGGTCAGTTGGTAGCACTCTTGCCTCTGAATCAGAAGGTTATGCATTCAAGCCCCACGTCAGGACTTTATCTCACATATTCTGAGCTGACACTCCAGAACAGTGCTGGAGGTTTGTTGCAATGTCGGAGGTGTCATCCTTTGGATGAGAGGTTAAATTGATGCCCCATCTGCCTGTTCAAGTGGACGCTAAAGATTCCATGGCACTACTTGAAAAGAGAAGGGAGTTTCACTGGGTGTCCTGGCCAACAATCTCCCAAATAAAATTATTCATTTATCCCGTGGCTGTATCCCATGTATGACATTGCTGTGCACAAATAGCTGCCACGTTCACCCACAAAATACATGAAAGTCATACCACTTTACAGAATATCTTTTGAAGTTGCTTTGAACTGTTTCGACCATGTAATAAAGTGCTATATCAAAATGCAGGGATTACTATTATTATTATAGAGTCAAGAGGAGAGAATCAGAATTGCCTAAAGAAGCACAAACAAAGCATAATGAGCAACGGGGGTGGCAAGAACTTCCTTATATCGTCATAAATGGATATTGAGCCAGTTTATAGAGAAAGACAGAAAGAGTTAAGGTGAGAGACTGTCAGAGAGAGAGAGAGAAAGAGAAAGAGAGAAGAAAGAGATTAAACAATGAAGGAAAGAGTTTGAGAATGTGAGAGAGAGAGAGAGAAAAGGGCTGGAACAATGTGATGTCATGGCAGCCATAGACATTATCCTCTGTTTAGGGTAATTTTAATATGCTGTAATATAATTCTAAAATGATATGAAATGGGATTGTTTGACTGCTCTGTAATTACCTTATCAGACATTTTGCTCCCAAAATAACTGTGTAACGGGCTTTTAGTTGACATCAACTTATATTTGAAACAGTACAGTAACATCTACTTTTTTGCTATGTTGGTAGCATTTATTGATGACTGAGAGGAACCTCTTTAAATAGCTTGACAATGAAAACAATACATTTCAAAGCACTGAAGGTATTGATAAGATGCATTTGTCTCTGAATGGCAGAATGTCAAAATCGCAATGAGCATGCTTATGAGCACAAGCCGGTCAAGTCAGCCCTTGAACCAGAACTTTTGTGAAGGGAGATTAGCTCATTCCCTTCCGCCCAATAATACAAGCCCCATAATAATAATAATCCTTCCATTTGATATAGTGCCTTATCAGGTCGTTGAAATGGCTCAAAGCGCTTCACAGAATATGCTTTAATGTGAATTGACTGTATATTTTGTGGGCAAAAGAAGCTGATCTCCTGAGTAAATGCCCTATCTCAGTCTCAACTGTAGGAAGGTGAGGAAAAACTTCAGTAACTTGAAGTGAAGTGTTAAGGTGTACAGGATTAACAATGGTGAAAGAAAATCATAGTATTATTATATTATTAAAGTTGTCGTAAATGCGAGGAAGCTGTACTGACAGAGAAAATTGAGCAATAATTCATTGTACAAAGTAATTATAGTTTTAAAAAAGCAATGTTAAGCAATGTAAATTTAACAAGTGTTTGTGGGCAAATTAATATACATCATGAGTGATTTTTCATGGGTCAACTAATCTTGTCTCAGTCTTCACTGCATTGTTCAAAGCGTAGCTCATATTCAACAGCAGACCCACAAGGATTTGGGAGGTTGGCATCCAGAACTGAGATAAGAGGCAACAGCAAAACAAATCTCCATGAGATAACCCTGGGAATGTTGCTAACATCGTTGCAATGTAGTCACTTATTTAATCTATGACTACCAGGCTTCTGTGCATTTCAAGCCCTGCACATTCCTCCATTCACGTTCAGGACTCGCACATGAATAATGGTCACTTTGATAGGTACCAGAGGCCATGGAATCTCACCCCAAGAGAAAGAAAAACAAGATTCAAAAACGACTTCAGAGAGGAGCTGGGGAGGGGCAAAAATTGGTGGAAAGAAAGTAATGTAGGACTACAATTTGTCACTCATATTTGGGTATAAATTCAGATAAGAAAACCCAACAAACATAAAATAATATTGTTTTTAACGTACTCAATAATTTTTTGTTAAAACGAATACTAAGGACAAAATTGCACCAAGCAGCATGACTGGCTGCTTAATGCCGTCTCACAAAGTCAATTTCAACCAACAAAGAGAGTCACAGGGAAGCAATTCGTTTAACTTGAACTTCAGACTCGATGGAAATCAGCAGCTTGTGGTCCCATTATACAGATTATCTAATTACGAGAATTGTTTCATAGAGAGACTGGAATGAATTTTACAAACAAGACGCTTCCTTTACTACAGTAGCTTCTCTTTCTTGGTGAAGCCGTGAGGGAGATTGTTTCATTTTCTCCAGTAAAGATCTCAAAATCTGGCCACACTTTTCTCAAGGATCAGAGATCTGTATTTGCAGTGTTCCTCTGCTGAACATTCTGAAATTGTTATCTGAAAGAGTATAGTCTGAGATGGCTCTGTTCAAGCAGCTGCTACAATGCTCCATTCAACGTTTTCTGTGTTGCTCTTTAATGTTAATAATTTCACTGGCAATTTTCTTTACTGTGAGATAAGGTTGAATCAATTAATTAATAAATACATTCATTCATTAATTCATTGCTGTGCGCAATTGGCTGCCACGTTTCGCCAATCCACTTTCCAATCCACACAGCCAAACTCTCTTCTCTTTGCGAATAGTGCCATGGGATCTTTAACATCCACCTGAACAGGTAGCTGGGAGCTTGGTTTAACGTCTTATCCAAACAACGGCACCTCCGACAATGCAGCACCTCCCCAGCACTGCATTGGCATGTCAGCTTAGACAATGTGTTTCCAATTCCCAACGTGGGGCTCAAACCCATAACCTTCTGACTCAGAGGAAAGAGAGTGCTACCATTGCACCACCCAAACTAGATAAGATCCTCATATGTATGCCACCTACATATGGAATTTTTGTGTGTCTGGAATGGAATAAACACTCTCTCCCTGAAGGGACCCATCCTGTTTACCTAATTCCAGAGGTGCAAGTCTACATTTCCCTTTTTCATTGAGCACTTTTTCAACCACATTGATTTTAATAACAAGGTTCATAATGACCAAAGTGGATTTTAAAATTGAATTTATAGTTGAAACTGCTGTCCGGGGCATATTTTTAGAGAGTTGTGGTAAAAACTAGAAAGAATGTGTTTTCAGATACAGCCTTACAGCTCTCATTGCTATGGTGGCGAGACGGCTAGCCATGTTAGTCAGTCGCATCTAGGTAGTGGCCTGGAAGAAGGTGTGGGATGTTGTTAACGTGGTGGATTCAAGAAGATACCCTGGAATAATATAAGAAGATCATTGATGTAAATGTCTATTTGATAAGCCAAATGTCTGATACGTACAGGAACCATGAAGACCCTCAACGAAACTACTAAAAGAGACACTTATGCATGCATTTTGGTTGGCTGGTATGGATTGTGTATTCTCTATCCGCAGGGACTCACCCTGCTTACGTAGTTCTGGAGAGTTTAGGCTCAGCTTGGCAAGAGTCTCCAGAACGTGGATTGCTGGAGTTTAACCAGCTATAGCTGTCCAGTTTACCATTGTAAGCAATAAAATAAGAGCACCAGAGGAAGTGCTAAACCCCTCCAATATCTATTCAAATCATTTAATCACAGCAAAACGGAATGCAAACACAGTAGTTTTTTTTGACAGAACATTAATCGTAAAACATTTTTAAAAGTTATGTAGCATCCAAGTAAGCTTCTGCAACCATGCCCCATCTGTTAATTACACATGGTGCAAGCAAAAGCGATGTCATGTGCCAATGTTTCAGTTAAACAAATTGCAATGCACTTTCATCCTGTTGGCATGCAGTAATTACATCCATGTATACCGGGTGGTTTTGGAGAGAATGAATGGTACTATTGCACCACATGGAGTTTTATTGTCAGATTTCAAGAGCAAATCAGTCTTTTTTATTGGTGTTATTAAGAACAGTTTTCACATGGGTCTCAGCACAGCAAAAATCCAAAAAGACCATATAAAAGATTGGATTTCTACCCAAGTCAAAAACTTTTTTTGATCTGGCTGAAGAGGAGGCATCTGGTGTTGCAGTATGTTACCATGCTGTTCCTTCACCATTGGGATTTAGATTTGAATCTAGCCAATACCGAAGAGCTAACGATTTCTTGTCTGCTGATTGTTCTAGGAGAAATGTATTTGGACATTTCAGCACAGTGAACGTGGCCCACAAACCAAAATCTTTCCCTTTTTGGCATTAAATTGCTAATCTCACTCAGAGAAGCCACAAGGATGGAAATGCTCCATCAGTGCAACAGGGAATGTTTCACTGATATTGGCATTGACACACACTCCTTCCTGGGTCATCAAACATTCCATACTTGATGCTTAAGCTCTGGGAACGAAAGAGAGATTGGGTTCCAAGAACACAGTTGAAACATCACCAAAAATTAAGTCAACAAATTCAATATATTTGATTCTTATGGCTTTCTTCACAAATGAATTGGGGATGTTCTGTATTTCCTCAGTCTCTGCTTTGATGCTTTATCTGTTCTGTTTTTAGCTAACTCTCTGAGACATACCCCTCATGAAGGGCGCTATACAATTGTGAGGTGATGTTGTTGTTGTCAGCTAATCCTACTCACAGCAACAGTGAGAGCACAAACAATGGGCTCAGTATCTGGGATAAAGAAGCAACATTAGGCATAGTTACCACTTCCAAATCATCCCGCTGGAAAGGACAGATCTGTGGACAACGGATGCCTGAAATTCCTGCTGGTTTTCCATGGTTCTTGAAGTTGGTTATAAATATCCACTCTCTAGGCTAATGCATTAAGAATAGTTACTTGAATTAGGTACTATATGTGGAATAAATATAGGAGGCACAGATGATTATAGTTTACATTTACATGTAAA